AGCAGGGAGCCTGATGTGGGACTGATCCCAGGACCCTGGGATCATGACCTGACCCAAAGGCAGATGCTTGACTGACTGAGCCACCCAGGCGCCCCAGCCTCTTACTTTTAATATATTTTGCTCTGACAGTGGACCTTGGCTGGGTTTGCTCACAGAGCTGTTTTTCATCTGGCTGTTGGCTGGTCTAGGACAGCCGCAGCTGGAAAGGCTGTGCTAGCCTGAGCATGTCCCTCCCGTGGCAGAGGGCGAAGCAATGGCACAAGCAGTTTCCAACCTCTGCTAGAGTCACATTCCCTGAACTTGCAGTGGCTGAGTCAAGTCACACGATGGAGCCCAGAGGCAGGGTGTGAAGGCAGTAAAAATATGTGGTGAGGATGAGCAGGATGTAAAGAAGGCTGAAGGACTGGGAATAATTTCATCATCAGCCTATCACAGATGGGGCAAATATCAATCAGTTTAGGATTTGAGTTTGAAGCATCTATGAGCAATCCTGGCAGAGCTAACCCCAGGGATGTGGATCTTAGGGAGGGAGCTCAGGAGGTTGGTAGGGTTATCAAGGATGCAAGTAATGTACCAAGTGGCAGTGGGTGTGTAAGCAGATGCCCTGGAGAGTGTGTGAGGTGAGAAGAGCGGAGAAAGATGGAACCTGGGACCAAATTCCTCCTTCTGTCACTCTGGGTGGTGGATCTCCACCCTCATGGTTGGGGAGAAGAGTCCCACCCTCTGTGCCTGCTGCAGGTTCCCCTGAGCTTTCCTTCTGTTCTCCTTGGCAGGAGCCTTTATTTTAATCCTTGCAGGGACCACTCCCCCAGGGAACCCCCAGAATGTAATGCTGTCCCTGGAGTTGTGCACAGGAAGACTCTGCTGGCATCCTTGGGGTCTGGGTAGCCTCCCTGTGCTCTCCAGCTTCTCTTTTGCAGGTGTGGGCTCTGCCCCACAAGTGCACATCACGGGACCAGAGGAGGATGGGGTCCGAGTTGTGTGCATGGCCTCGGGGTGGTTCCCAAAGCCCCAGGTGCAGTGGAGAGCTGTCAGTGGAGGAAAGTTCCTGACATTCTCTGAGACCCAAGCCCAAGATGCTGAAGGGCTGTTCACCATGGAGGCCACTCTGGTGGTGAGGGACAGCTCTTCAGGGAATGTGACCTGCTCAGTCCTCAACCCCATCCTGGGCCAGGAGAAGGGGGTGGCCATTTTCATCCCAGGTCAGTACTACTTCCCACTCCCAGAAGGGCGGGATGGTCTTGTTGGGGGTCCCCGGGTGTGCTGGGTTGGGCTGTCCTGGGCTGTGACCCTGATGGGGTGTCTGGCTGGCACAGAACCCTTCTTCCCCCGGAGTTCTCCTTGGAAGCCGGCTTTCATGGTGATCCTGACTGTGCTGATGCTCCTACTCCTGGGGGCTGCCTTTTACATCAAGAGAGAGCATACCGCAAAGCACCGGGAGATACAGGAATGGGAGAAACTGCGGAGGGACAAGGTGGAGGACCAGCTGACAAAGGAGGAGGCACTGAAGGCCAGAGGTAAACGCAGGACAGGCGCCATGGTAGGCCAGTGTGGTAGCTGGTGTGGAGGACAAGCGGACAGCAGCGCCCTTGGCCTGGAGCAGGTGGCTGAGGAGGACCAAGAGGACGGGGGGGGCCGTGGAGGCTCCACGGGTCTGGAGGTAGATCTTCTAGGAAATGGAGAGGTCCTCTTGTGGGTTTTCCAGGTGCAGTCTTTGCTGTTCTTAGTGATGGGAATCCATGCTTATTTTTCACTTTCTTTCAGATGAACTCCAAGCAGATCTTGGTAAGTTGTGTCCTTTTCCCAGAAGTTTCTGGGTCTCCTTTGTAGGAGACATTCTGTTCTCAGCTCACCTGTTTCCTGTGTTGCCTTTCAGACTGGAGGAAATCGGTTTACCTGGCTGGTAAGTGACTGCCCAGATGTCCTTGGGTCTCTTGCGCCCACTAAGCCAAGGTGTCCCCTCTCCTTGTTTCAGGCAGAGACATGTGGACCCTTCCCTGGGGCAGAAGTGGAAGCTGGTGGGAGGCTGAACACTGCCCCATGGGCTTTCCCCATATGGGCAGTTGTTTCCCACCCAGTGCTTGGGAACCTGGGGATTATGTGGGGCCCTGGAGTATATCATGCATCTTGGGTTTATTCTAATGCTGATCTGCCCGCCCCATTTCTAGCTTTTTAGCCTTCAATGCAACTAGTTCTCAGTCAACCTGGATGCTCTGAGATTTTGTTAAAGAAGCTATATAAATAAATGGGGTCATTACGTTTAGGAGCATGATCCTTCCACATAACACCATCCAGGCAGAATCTTTTCTCTCTAGTTCCTGGAGGTGCTGATCATAAAGTGTTGGGTAGAGGACTGGGCAGACCGCGGGTGGGAATGTGGTGGGGTGAGCTGTCAGTGGTCCAGATTAGTGATGTGTTTTCTGAGAAAGTTTGGCCACTTTAACCCTAGAGTTCAGCTAACATCCCATCCTAAATTCATCTCCCCTTTTGTGTTATTTTCCAAATATCTCTTTGCTGGAAAACATTGGATGTAATAATGATTTCCTACATTTATGGAATAATGTATATTTAATTCCCTAAAATATTTTCATCCATTGTATAATTTTTGACTTATTAAAGCAAAATTGAGAGCAGATAGAATAAAAATTTTTGAGGTTTTTTTTTTTTTTTGAGGGTTGTAAGGCTCAGGACACTAACTTGGCAAGGGTCACACAGCATCAGCAGGCAGGGGCGGAACTCAGGCGGCAATGCGGGCTCTCTGACCTGTGGTCCAGGGAATTTCCCACAACACCCTGCTGTCTGCACATGGCAGGAGGGATCTCCTCTCCAGCCTCTCTCCTTACTCTCTTGGTAGTGTCACCTGCAGCACAGAGGGGAGGCAAGGGCTGGTAGATCAATGTTAAGCTGACTCGTTCTGGCTCATGTCTCACCAGGGTGTGTTCCCTTTCAGCCTGGAAGAAGGCGCAACTGTATGGAGGTAGGTGACTCTGTTTCCTGTGGTCTTACCTCCCCAGCCTCAGCTCTGCCCCGTTCTCTGTCAGTGGACCCCACACCAGGATGGGGTTGGTGTCCCTTAGTCCTTGTCACGTTTGTTGTCTCCTTCTGAAGACTGCAGAGATTGTCCTTGGGAACACAGATCTGCCTCTATTCTGACCCATCCTCTACTGTAGGTTGCTGTTAGAGTTGGCAACACCCTCTGAACACCCCTTGTTCAACTGATAATTTTGTTGGTGCAGTGACAACAGAGTGGTCATTTGTAAGGACAGTTGGACCATGGCATTGACTGTGTAGATCAGAATTTGCTGTCTCTAGACATTTCAGAAATCATGCTCGCCTGCTTAGGACTCAGGTCTTTCTAAGGGGATCCTTGCTTCTGAATACATTTTACCCTGAAATTCCTACCTTTTTTGGGATCTAATTTTGGTTTTCCTGTTTTTTTGCTATTTCTCTGGAACGTTGGTCTTCATTTTGCTTCCTCATGCTCTGACTCCTTGTCCAAGTTGAGTTTTTTCCTCTAAACCTCTGTGGTTGCTGTGAAGTACTTTCTTTAGGTCAGCTGTTCTGAATCTGAAATCCAGAGCCTCCAGGATGTTTATGGAGTCCTGGTAGTGTTTTTGTGAGCTACCTGCAATTATATACAAAATCCTATGTATATGTTTGTGTTACAGAGTTAAGAAATTAAATTTTTTTTAAAGGACAGTTAACTTATAATTGTTCACAACCATAATGTCTCCTTTTAGGAGAATTCAGGATTTACCTGATGGGCTCAATAATGGTTGGGTTTATTAGGGGCAATGTGTGAGGATTTCAACAGGAAAAATCCAGAGGAGTGAAAATTGTTTACTAGAGAAAAGTTGGGAGCAAATCAGGGAAGGAAAAGCTGGTTGGGGAAGAGAGGAGGAGATGAGAAGGAGGGTAGAGAGCTTGTGATTCCTCTTGGAGAGACTGGGTGGCTCAGAGCGGTGGAAGAGAGACCACAAATCACAGCCGTGGTGGTTCGAGTGGGAAGTACACAGAGGATGTGCAAGGTATTTGGGTGCATGAAAAGTAATAAACTCCTTAACAGTTTGAGAGATTTCTGAAAAGACTGACATCTATTTTAAGCTGTTTTGAAGTAATTTTCTAAGTGGGTTTGCTTCTAATAAGGAGACTATCTCAACCTTCCGTTAGTAGTCGGGGCAGGAGTGTGATCCAGGGGTTCCTAATGCAATGATAGGTTATCCAGAGCACCCGTTAGCATTGGGGTTAGTTAAGAATTTGGGCCCTCTGAACCTGTGTAACATGTGCTTTCCTGTCCTGGCTGTTTCTATTTATGATCAGGGATACAGACTGTGAGAGCAGAGAAGGGGGAGCCAGGGGTGCAAGAGTCTAGGGGACCAGATGTGTGAAGAAAACTCCTTAGAGAGCCGTGCTGATTCTTGGGATTTATTTGTTAAAAATGAGGATTAACTAGTCTTCTTCTAGCATCACTTCCTTCTCTGCTGGATTGAAATTCATGTGTTTTATTTATTTTTTACTTATTTATATATTTTTTAAGATTTTATTATTTGTCAGAGAGAGGGACGGAGCACAAGCAGGGGGCGTGGGAGAGGGAGAAGCAGGCTCCCCGCTGAGCAGGGAGCCGGACGCAGGACTAGATCCCAGGACCCTGGAATCATGACCTGAGCCAAAGGCTGATGCTTAACTGACTGAGCCACCCAGGCGTCCTGAAATGCATGTGTTTTAAAGTATACCTTGTATACCTTCTTTTTTATAAGGACAGACACCCTTACAGTAGTAGAATCAATATTTTCACATTGATGAGCTCATAGTATGAGGTGAACAAATGTCTGATCTCATCTTATTCATGAAATTGGAAGAATAATTTATAATGAAAGGCTTGCTGTGGAAATAAAGTGAAGACTGCACTTGAACCACTGAAGTGCATAGCATAGCTCTGAATGCATCATAGAGTCTCAGAATAGAATGCCAACTCCCTTTCTCCTCTTCCTTCTCCTCCTCCTCCTGATTTCTCTTCTTCTTTGCTAATCTGTGTCAATTGTCATAGAAATGTAGAGCTGGCTGTCAACTGATGTCTTGATGATGAGCAAGTAAAGTTCCCTTTTCTCAAAAGGTGACGTGGGTCAGCCCACTTCATGTGATCTGTTTGTATAAGCAAATCAACAGAGCAGGACATACCACTTTATCTGAATAAACCTGTGTGAGTGAGAATAATGGTCACCTGTTTTCACCAAATGGTCAAGAAAATGTCCTGTTTTTATTTTTATAAGTGCCCTAATTTTGTTCTGCAGTCTCTGCCCTATTGGAGGTAACAGCTTTCTCAATGCAGACTTCTCAGGTCTTATGACACATATACGTTTTGCTTTGATCAGTTAGCTTCCTTGCTTCTTCTGAAAAGGGAGTATGAAGGTCAGAGGAGTTTATGCCTTGTGTCACTGGGGGAGGGAGTCCCTGTGCTCTCCTCTTGATCATTTCAGGACCTCACCCTGTAGAGGATAGCTTGATATGGTCCTTAGGATAATTGGGTTTGGGGTTCCAACTAGGTGTTTGGAGGCATTGCTCTTCCCCCCCAACCCTATCTCCAGTTCCTTAATCTTAATCACATCTGTAAAGTTCTCTCTGCCAAAACATATTCACACTTTCTGGAGCACAGGACACAGCCATATTTGTGCGCCAACCACGTGAGGTGTCTCCTGGTGTTTTGGATCTCTCTGGGTGATATAGGGAGAAGCAGATGACTAGACCCAATATTTTTGGGTTTCCCCTTACATATAGGGATATTTTTCCTCCCAATGCCCCATGAAACGGGGAAGCAAATTCATTACTTTCTGTCCTCTCACTGGATGTATGTCTTTCCTGCTTTGAACTTCTCTCTCTCCTTTCCTTGAAACCTCTCCATTGCCTCTTGACTGGGCAAGATTTCTCTGAAGCCATATCCTGAGTTCTCCTCACCCATGGCTGATAGTCATCCTCCAAGTGCAGCTCTGCCAAGTTGTATTGTCTCTACCATGGCTTCGAGTCAACCTATAAGTTCACCTCAGTCAGTCCTTTATTAGTAATGGATGCCTCAGAAATTTTGATCTCCTCAGTTCTTTCTCAAGAAAACCTAGCTTTCAGGATGGATGTGTGGCTAGGGATTGAGGAAGCATAATTTGATAGTGAAATCTGTGCAGAGAACCTTCTTTTTGGGTCAGTATCCAGTCTCTCAGTGGTGTTAAGCTTTATGGCTTGGCTTTCCTGGGAAGATTGTAGCAGGATGGCTGTGTGTGTGTGTGTGTGTGTGTGTGTGTAAGATAAATTCGTCAGGTGAATGTTTCCCAAAGATTTTTCCCTATAACTCTTGCAGCAGTGTATTTCAGAAGATAGATACTAACACTGGTCTGTACAGTCTCATCAAATCTCTGATTTGTTGTTCACATTTGTCAAATGTGGTTTTCTTGTAGATTGGCGGAAGGAGAAGTTCCAGGCCTGTGAGTTGCTTCGAGTTCTTTCTGGGTGTCTTCTACTGCTGCTCCATGGCTGCTGACATCTCCTTCAGCTTGCTGTGATGATACAGATGCTGGCCCCATCAATGGTGGTGGGCTCGGATGGGGCAGTGAACGTTACCTAGCTGGGATTGATGGGTGTGACATATTGGATGCTAAAGAGATATCCTTCAGTCCTTGGAGTCCAGTCTGATCCTCAAGTGCCCTGTGACATATCTAACTCCCGAATCACTCTTATAGTTCCTTCTCTTGTTTGGAGGGCTATGGGCTTGAGTCACAAGACTCTTCTCTCCGAAGGCTTAGTCCTCCCTGCATGCAGCTAGGTGTCTTGGGTGATGGTGGTGGTTGTGTGCTTTGTTATGGGGCAGGGAAAGGCCTTGCATGATTGGAAACTCTCTCTGCAGTGCCTGTCACTCTGAATCCAGAGTCTGCACATCCCGACCTTGCTGTCTCTGATGAAAAGACTAGTGTGACCTGGAAGGAGACATCTGACAGCGCAGGAGATAACTATAGCATCTTGGGTCATGACGGCATCACATCAGGGTGCTGTTACTGGGAGGTGGAGATCAGGAATGGAGATAGAAGTGAGTGGGCTCTGGGGGTCTGTAGGGAAGGTGTGCAGAGGAGGGGCTGGTACCAGGAGTCCCCAAAAAAGGGGTTCTGGACTGTGGGGAAGAATGGTGATAATCTCTGTGCCCTCACTACTGAGCCTCACGAATTCCTTGGGAAAATTCCTCACAGGGTAGGGGTTTTCCTGGATCTCAAGGGAGGGGATGTCTCCTTCTACAACATGACTGATGGCTCCCACATTTTCTCTTTCCCTCTAGTTTCCTTCCCTGGGACTCTGTTTCCATACTTCAGGTTGAGGTCAGGAGATGTGTCCCTGACCGTCTGCTCTGTGGTGGGCGGGCTTGCAGAGACCCTTGTACCCCTTAACAATCCTTCTTCTTTGGAGGAGCCTGTGAGCCTCTCAGGGGTGGGGTTCAGCTCAGTCTCTTGTGTTGATGGTGCTGCCCCAGGGGCTGAATGTCCATTACTCCCCTGCAGCCCTGAGGCTATGTCCCCATAGAGTCCCAACGCTGTCCCAGACTCCTCATGGTGGCTCTTCCTGGAGCTGCAGACTCCCTGGGGTAATAGCCTCTGAGGTTAGTCCTGGATGACCTGGTGTCTCCCGCTCCTCTTCTGGGTGCATACTGCTGGGGTGTGGTATGAGAATAGTCAGTTCATGCCTTATGCTCAGGTATTAGAAGATAAATGTTGACTGAGCTGATATGGGATAGGCTGAATTTTGCTTTTGGAAGTTATGTTTCTTTTGGTCATGAAAATTATTTCATGGAGTCTTTGTATCGTTTTGATATGAAATGAGATGACGTCTGAAGAATTAAATGGTGTTTATTTTATGCAGAATTTTAAATTGTGCAGACGAACCCAGAGGCTATGGGTGGGTCACCAGCTCTATTTTGGGAAGTGTGCACTCTGACTAGAGACTTCGGCCATCCAGAAATTTCTGAATAAATGGATGGCTGATGGACTTTAAGAGGAGTGTAGTGTAGTATTCTTTTGTATATGCTTCCTATTCTCGGATGGACAAAACATACTTATCTTACCAAACCTTAGTAAATATCTGTTATTTGTGAAATACTACTGGTGCACTAATTCAGTGACTGGAGGATGAGAATTTGGGTTCCCCTGTGTGTCAACACAGTTGGAGAGAACAGAACTGCTCCCAGAATAAAGATGTGAATGAAAAAGAGCATTTTCAGACCCTGGGTTAATTTCAGAAAGCTTTCATCATGAGTACAGTTCCAGGATCTATGTACTGCTTCTCAGGATTTCCAAGTCCAATTGTAAAGGTGGATAGAAACCACAGGAAACAAAAGGAAGTCAGACTATTGAGGACTCAGACCTTCAGGGATGAAGGTGTGTTCACTCCTGAGGTAGAGAACTCCAACCTGCCGTGATTCTGGGAGAGATAAGACACAGAGTTGGAAGTGGAGGAAGGAAGTCACAAATCTCAGTTCCTGCCTGTGACCAAAAAAAAAGAAAAGGACTGTAGTAGCTTTGCATATTTTCTCTTTCTTGTCACGTAGATGTGTCATTTGTATTAATTATTTATTTTCTTTCTCCCTTCTTCTTAGTAGTGTGATTTTATTCAAGTTGTCAGTGGTGATATTTAAAATATAGTCTCTAAGTAAGAGAGTGGTCCAATGATTGTGGCTAGACTTAAGGAATAAATAATAAAACTGGTTGATTCAATGCCTGGGACTGCCTGTCTCTTCCATTTTGGGGAAAGAGTGAGAACTTTTTCACTTGTAAGTGTAGCTCTGTAGATGAGTAAAAATGTGGAGTTGTTGTGTTGTTATATGGAAGTTCCAATGTGAGTAAAATGGTGTTATGTGGAAGCTGAGGATCTAAAGATGTGGACTGTGCTCATTTTCAGTTCATTGCCTTTTGATTCAAATCTACCCTGCATTTGCCCTGCTTGTTGATACTGGAGCTGGATGTCATAAACGTTTCATTTTTGCCAGTGGCTCTCTTGTTAGCCTTTGTCAGTCAGTGCACTGTCAGGTTTGGCCAGCAAACCCTGAGATGGCAAATGAAAAGATTACTCCAGACACCTTCGTAGGAGAAAGGAGATGCCTGGGGACCAGATGCTCTCGTGGTGAAAGGCCTCAAGCCAAGCTTCATCTCCATTTTTATTGGGGTCTTATCAATACACCACGTGCAAGGGCAAAACAAGGAAAGTGTAACCTTAATGATCAGGATAATAGTATATGGAGCGGTGTGTGATAAGGGCAAGGAGGCAAGGAGTTCGTGAAGTACATGACCACCACAGGTGCCTTTCTTCAAAATTTAAACATTACTCCCTAGATGAGAACCTTGAGCCACAGTAAGAATCTGGCAGCTTTCAGCCCAGAAACTTCAAGGGAGGCCCAGCGTTCCGGGCACTCCTTTTTTGCTTTTCAATTAGTCTCATCCAGGGAGGCATATACAAGTCAGATTTTGTCTATCCAGGCACTGTGAATTCCTATAGTGCACCACAGGGAACACAGCAAGATGTAGCAGGGGGAAAAGCTTTCTTCTTCTTTTGGTGTTTTTTAAAACAATATTTTATTTATTTATTTGTCAGTGTGCACAAGCACAGGGAGCGGCAGGCAGAGGGAAAAGCAGGCTCACCTCTGAGCAAGGAGCCCGATGAGGGACTCGATCCTAGGACCCTGGGACCATTACCTGAGCCAAAGGCAGATGCTTAACCGACTGAGCCACCCAGGTGCCCCGCTTTTGGTGTTTTTTCCCCTTGATCCTATGATGTGACTGCCAGTGGCCTGGAGAAGGCCTAGCTTCTCTCCCCTTTGGGTGAATGAGTACGGCATTGCAGTCGGGCCGTGATCTAGAGGGCTGCTTCCCAGGGAATCTTGGGAGTTTTCCTGCTCAGCAGGCTTGGCCTGTGGCCTGTGGGTGAATTTCTTTCCTACCTGGGGACCCTGGTCCCACCTTCTCCAACAAACAGAATGTCAGTCTTATTCTCTCAGATGTCCTCCTTTGGGTGCGCTACCTCAGCCCTGGGGGTAGTGTCTGCTTCCTGTGACTCCTTCTGGTTTCCTTAGAGCTTTCTTTGACCTCTTTCATAGTTAAACACCTTTTGCTTAATAATTCTTTATATCACATTTCCCCTGTTAAAATGACTGATGTGGTTTCTGCCTCCTGACTGGACACTGACTGATATGAACATCTAAACTGAAGTGTATCTTGGAGGAGGGCTCTGCACTGCTCACAGTGTGTGGGAAAGGATAGTGGAGGAATTTTCAAATTTATTAAAATGTTCACCCTAACAAGAAAGCCATAAATATACTCTTTGTGTCTTTGTACATATTTTAAATACTCTGTATGTTAATATATTATCTGACATGTTCATCTCCTCCCTCCATATGGCTTGTGGCTTTGGACACTGGATTACTTTTGGAGGGGCTATGGGCATATTTCCTTTGAAATGGACAGGAAAGGAAGGGATGGATGTGATATGAATTATCCACACAAATAAGAGGAATCTTTTGAAACAAGTGGACCAGTTGCCCATGTAATTCCTCTTGGGAGGAGTGAGGTCACCATCATGGCCGAATGAATCATTCCATTTGTCTTCCCCTTCCATTTACAGCTACTAGGATTCCAAAATCCAATAGAGGTTCCTCTACATAGCACGCCAGACGCCGAAGAGATCCACCCATGTTTATAACTGAAAGTGTGTGGATTGGGCCTCATGGAGACCAGAGCCCAGGCAGCAGTGGTGGGGCCTGTTACCCCGGTTTCTACAGTGGTGGCAACACCTGCCCGTGACTCCTCTGGAAGAGAGGGTGGGGGTGGGGAGGGGTGAGTGAAAGGCTACCTGGCCCTGTGGGCTGCAGCTGGAGGACCCTATAGCTATGAAGCCACAGAGCAGGGTCCTCTGAGGCAGGGCATCTGTGACTTTGTGGGGTGGTGGGGGGAAGGGAAAGGCAAGGGAAGGAGGCACACAAGAAGAAACACTTTATGCACTGTCTGCTCTGAGAGTTCAGCAAGAGAACACCCAGCACCACTGGGACTCCTGAACTTGAGGATCCTCCTCCTGGAGTGTGGGGCACACCCAACGCCCAAGGGCTTAGTACATACTGCCCCCACTCGGTTGCCAGCCTCCCACTTTTTTGTTGTTGTTTTTGAGCCTGGTCTAAATAGCTACCAAGGCTGTTCTGGTAAGAGAAGCCAAAAACTTCTGCTATTCTGCCACCTTCTGGAATACTAAAGAAGGGCCTCTAACTGCCCACCTGTGGAGTGTTAGGCAATTCGGTGAACTCAGAAATAAAATGAATGGACAGAAGGAGTATTTTACCAAAGAGACTGAAATTTTAAAAAAGAACCAAACAAGAATTCTGGAGCTGGAGATCTCACTAAATGAGAGGAAGAATGCATTAGAAACATCGGAAATAGAGCAGATCAGGTGGAAGGGAGAACACACGATTAGAAAGATGGAACCTAGAAATGATTCAGGTGGAAGTGGAGAGAACTATGACTTTTTTTTTTTTTAAGTG